CAGTAAATGCCCCCACACTCATAAAGCGGCAGTGATTCGGTTGGCGTTCACACCGAGGCCATGCAAGATTCCATGCAGATCGACGTAGTCGCCGAGCAACGCTGTGGCGTGACGATAACAGGGGAGAAACCACTGAAGGAGGATGCATGCCATAAGAGCAAAACTTTTAGGAGGAAACTGAGGGGGATTTCTGGTGGCGGAACAGTGGCAGAGTTAGAAGGAGTAGGGTTGGGTGGTAAGAGGGGTGCGGAGCAGATGGAAGTTGATGAAAGCGGGGAGGAAATAGTATGGAAGAGGAGGTTGACTGTGGAGAACGCAGGAAACGTAGCAACAAATATGAGCGCTGGGCTGCTAGAACAGCCCGGCGGGTCCAAATGAAGATCATCGCATGGAACTGCCGGGGTTTGGGGAATGGCCCGACAGTTCAGGGGCTTCTGTCATTGCAGAAGCAGGAGGACCCCGACATCCTGTTCCTGTCAGAAACCAGACTTGATAAGAGTAGGATGGAGAAGTTTCGTAGTAAGCTAGGTCTGCATAACATGCTAGTACAAGATAATAAAGGGAAGAGTGGGGGTTTGGCTTTGTTTTGGAGAAGGGGGTTGATGTTACTCTGAGATGGATGGGCAAAATGCACATTGATGTTACGGTCAAAGAAAAAGACGGTTTTGAATGGAGGTTGACGGGGATCTATGGTGAATCAAAAATGGAAAAGAAAGTGGAGACGTGGAGGCTGCTGAGGACCCTCAAACACCAATCATTGCTTCCCTGGGTGTGCATGGGAGATTTCAATGAGGTCCTGTATAACCACGAGAAGCAGGGAGGAGTCCCCCGGGGGCATGCACTTTTGCAAAACTTCCATGATGTCCTGCAGTTTTGTGATCTTAATGACCTGGGCTTTGAAGGAGATGTGTTTACGTGGAGAAACAACAACTTTCGCTTGGAGGGATACATACATGAGCGCCTTGACAGAGTAGTCACCTCTCCCACATGGTGCGCCCGTTTCCCATACTACAAGGTCATCAACGGCAACCCGGAACACTCTGATCACAGGCCCGTGGTTCTTTGGGTCCACAGGGATAGAGCATCAAGGAGAACCCATAGCAGGGCACAGAGCAAACGTTTTGAAGCACAATGGCTGCTGGATGAAGAGTGTGAGGAGTTGGTGCAGAAGGCATGGTCTGAGGCGGAGCACACGTCTGTTTCCAGCAAACTAGCGTCGATTCAAGAAGCCCTACATATATGGAACCGTGATGTCCTGGGTGACCTGCTAAAGCGAGCGAGAAAGCTGAAGAAAGAGCTGGAAGGGATCCGGAGGCTTCCATTGTCGCAGAGCCAGATAAGAAAGGAGCTGACTACCAAAACCCAACTGGCCAGTCTGGAAGAGCAGATTGACTTGGCAGCCAAGCAGCGTGCCCATGTAAACTGGCTGGAGAAGGGAGACCGAAAATTCTTTCAAGCTTTTGCCTCGGAATGGAGAAGGAAAAACACCATAGTCAAACTGAAGAGGGAGGATGGTGTGGAGGTGTCGCGGGAGGAGGGCTTAAAGGCCCTTGTCACTAACTATTTCTCTAGCTTGTTTACCCCCGTGGCAGGTACTGAAGTGGCGCACATACTTGACTAGATCACACCAAAGGTGACTCCTGCGATGAATGCGTTTCTCACGAAGGAGTTCACCGCTGTGGAGGTCAAGGAGGCCCTGGATTCTATCGAGGACCTAAAAGCACTAGGAGTGGATGGCCTCCCTGCCATCTTCTACAAGCATTTTTGGAGACTCATTGGCGATGAAGTTGTACACGAAGTCTTGCAAGTGTTACATGGCGGCAGCATACCGGAGGGATGGAATGACACACTAGTGGTGCTTATCCCAAAGGTTCAGAACCCTGAAAGTCTCAAAGACCTACGCCCGATTAGCCTATGTAATGTTGTTTACAAGCTCGTGTCCAAAGTCCTTGCCAACCGGTTGAAGGATATCTTGGGGGAGATCATTTCACCAAATCAGAGTGCCTTCGTACCGGGTCGACTCATCTCCGACAACACAATCTTGGCATATGAGATGACACATTACTTAAAGAGGAAAAGATCTGGGGGCACTTGTTATGCAGCGTTGGAACTTGACATGAGCAAGGCCTACGACCGCGTGGAGTGGTCGTTCCTGGAGAAGATCATGGCCAAACTAGGCTTCGCCTCGGCTTTCATTAACCAAATCAGCAAATGCATGCGCACCATCAAGTTCTGTTTCAAGATAAATGATACTTGCACTGACACTGTGATCCCAGGCTGAGGCTTACGGCAGGGCTGTCCTATCTCGCCGTACCTGTTTCGCATTTGTGTGGAGGGGCTATCGGTGCTTCTTCATCAGGTGGAAGCAACGGGAGTCCTGCGAGGCATAAAGATCGCCCCAGCTGCACCTCCAGTGACTCACTTGCTGTTTGCCGACGATTCACTTCTGCTTATGGAGGCAACGGAGGAGAGAGTGAATGCGGTCAGGGACATTTGGGAGGTTTATGAGCGAGGTTCGGGCCAGACGATCAACCGTGACAAGTCTGCTATCCTTTTCAGCAAAAACACCACACACCAACGGAATGATAGCCTGCTACATCTGCTGGGACTCCGCACCGAGGGCAATCATGGGAAGTACCTAGGGCTCCCAGCGTACGTTGGCAAGTCCCGCCAGGCATGCTTTGAGTACCTTCGGGATCGGATTTGGGAGATTTTGCAGGGGTATAAGATCAAGTTGCTGTCAAAAAGGGGGAAGGAAATTCTGATCAAGATAGTGCTACAAGCCATCCCGGCTTATGCCATGGCCTGCTTTGATCTGACCAAGTCTCTTTGCAAGAGCATTAGCCAGATGATATGCCGCTTCTGGTGGGCTAATCAAGAGGATGACAAGAAGCACCATTGGGTAGGATGGGAGAAGATGACCTTACCTAAGGAGGAGGGTGGCCTCGGGTTTAGAGACTTACATTCGTTCAACATGGCTATGCTATCATGCCAAGTGTGGAGGTTGCTGCAGGCCCCGGACTCTCTCTGTGCTCGCGTGCTCCAAGCGCGATACTACCCTACTGGCGATCTCTTGACAGCACAGCCTGCCCCCGGTATTAGCTACATCTGGCGCAACATCCTCCAAGGAGTGGAAATCGTCAAGGAGGGTATGGTCTGGAGAGTGGGCAATGGTGACCAGATCCGAATATGGCAAGACCCATGGCTACCCACAGGAAATGTGCGTTTCCCACGGTCACCACGTGGGAACACCTTGCTCACCACCGTGGCCGAGTTGATCGACCCGTCCACACACACATGGGACCAACAACTTCTTTACCAGACCTTCTGTGCGGAAGAGGCCATCACTATCCTGGGCATCCCCATTTTCGAACACCATGACGACTTTATCGCCTGGCAGTATGACAACAAAGGCAGGTTCTCGGTCAGGTCAGCCTACAGAGTACATGTCGATCTTCAGAGACGCGAGAGCAGACACCCACCGGGCGAAGGATCCTCTGGGGAAGATGGTGACAGAAAGCTGTGTATGAAGCTATGGAAGATCCAATGCCCGGGTAAGGTGCATCATTTCATGTGGCGGGTGGCGCACAATAGTCACCCAATGCTCAGAAATATTGAGCCTATCGGCGTGGAACTGGACACGGACTGCCTGATGTGCAAACGACTCCCTGAAGATGGAGGACATCTTTTCTTACGCTGCAAGGAGGTCAAGCTCATGTGGCGTTCTGTGGGTATGGAGGCTCATAGGCTGCGGCTCCTGGCATGTACTTCTTCCTGCCAGTTCCTGGAATGCATCTTTTCCTTCCCTGATGAAGTATCGCTCAAGATCATTTGCCTCCTATGGATGTGGTGGACTGAGAGGAACAAAGTGAAGCACCAGCAAGCTAGGGCGTCGGCTCATCAATTTCAACTCCTCATGGACAAGGCTCTGTCAGAATGGCGCGCGTTCAACTCGGTGCAGCCGTCGGCACATCATAAACCCCCAGGTATTTGGACCAAACCCGCAGCAGATGTCGTGAAAGTCAATATCGATGGGGCTTTCTCCACGGAGGGGCACCAGGCAGGCTGGGGTTGCGTCGCTCGCAACCACACGGGCGATGTCCTCTTTGCGGCAACAGGTGAACTACAGCATGCAACTGAAGCCGTTCATGCAGAGGCCCTGGCTCTAATGAATGCTATCACTCTTGCTGAAACTCAAGGGATGGGACGGGTTGTGTTTGAAACCGACTGCTTGAGCCTGGTCAGCGCTATATCCACGGACGTCCTGGATCGTTCAAGCCTAGGTGCTATCTTCCGGGAGACTAGATTCCTCCTCCAGCTAGGTTTTATCCGGTGGAGCATTGTACACTGCCCACGTTCTTGCAATGTTCCAGCTCATAATCTGGCAGCTATGGGTAGGCAGGGTACTTATGGGAGCCAATGTGTGTGGCTCTCAAGCTTTCCCCTTCTTGTAACCGATGCAGTGACGGCCGATTTGGTCGGTCCGGCGTAAAGCAATGGAATGCAAGGTGTTCCAGTTCAAAAAAAGAAGAAGAAGAAAAAACTATGTCAAGAAAAAAAGACTCACCCTCGTGGCTGTCTCGCCCGGTATTCTGAACTCTGCATGTAACCAGTGGGTGGGTCGGTTGGTTCGCGTCGTTGTCACGAGTCGGGTCGGGGCCTGCCCCTGGGTGGGTCTGGGTCGACGTTGCGTGTGGGTGGCTGGCCCAAGCTCCACCACAGAAACGCACGGATGGCCGCCGGGAAAACGCCATGCGCGCGTTCTCCAGTTCTTCTAGTCTACCCCGGCCCTGCTCTGCCGTCACGCAACCTCCCTCCCTCCCCCGCACCCGCCGCTTCGCTCCGGTTCTCACTCGTACCGGCGGCAGTGATCTACTAGAAGCGCCGAGAGATAAGTGGCAGCGGTACAAGGCCTTGGGAGCGAGGAGGATCTCAGCCCAAAAACCTCGGACCCCAACTCCCTCTTCAGACGATCCCGAGGCAGGAAGGGGACAGACCAAATGCGGGCGGTCGCGATGCCTTCCGCCTCCCTGCCCCTCCTCTCCCCGCGGCACCGGCCGCTGCTGCGCCCGTCGACCCTCCCGGCCTCCCGCCTCGGCAGCGGGCTCCGTCCACGCCGCGACCGCGCCGAGAGCACCCGCCTCCGCGTGGCCGCGCCGACGTCGGTCCCCGGGGAGGCGGAGCGGGCGGAGGAGCCGAGCACGAGCGCGTCCTCGCCGCCGGAGTCCTCGGGGGAGAAGTTCGTATGGCGGGACCACTGGTACCCGGTCTCGCTCGTGGAGGACCTGGACCCGCGCGTGCCCACCCCGTTCCAGCTCCTCAACCGCGACCTCGTCCTCTGGAACGACCCCAACTCCGGCGACTGGGTCGCGCTCGACGACCGCTGCCCGCACCGCCTCGCCCCGCTCTCGGTACCTCCCCTCTTCCCCACCTCTGTTTGCTTCAGCCAAATAAATCCTGTACTGACGAGTGGGCGTTCTGCGCGCGCGCGCGCGCAGGAGGGCAGGATCGACGAGACGGGCGGCCTGCAGTGCTCCTACCACGGCTGGTCCTTCGACGGCTCCGGCGCCTGCACCAGGATCCCGCAGGCCGCGCCCGAGGGGCCCGAGGCCCGGGCGGTGCGCTCGCCCAGGGCCTGCGCCACCAAGTTCCCCACGCTCCTCTCCCAGGGGCTGCTCTTCGTCTGGCCCGACGAGAATGGCTGGGACAGGGCCAAGGCCACCAAGCCTCCAATGTATGTGGGTGAACTCTGCAGCTATGCTGCACTGCAGAATTCAGTCGACAGGAAACATCCTCACCATTTTGTTTCTCCCGGTTTCAGGCTGCCGAAGGAGTTCGATGACCCGGCCTTCTCCACCGTGACGATCCAGAGGGACCTCTTCTATGGGTATGACACGTTGATGGAGAACGTCTCCGATCCCTCGCACATAGAGTTTGCTCACCACAAGGTAAATGCTGTGCAGAGGTCTGAGAATGCTTTTACTTGTTTGCTATGCCAGGTTTCCTCTTACAGAAGAGGATGATTACTGCCATTTCAAAAAAAAAAAGAGTATGATTTCTGTAGATGGATGTTACTCCCTCCTTTCCTAAATATTTGTCTTTCTAAGATTTCAACAAGTACGAAGCAAAATGAGTGAATCTACACGCTAAAATACTCCCTCCGTTCCATATTAGTTGTCGCTCAAACTGATGTACCTAGCACTGAAATGGGAGTATGTCTATGTACATCCGTATGTGGTAGTCCATTTGAAATATCTAAAAAGACAAATATTTAGGAACGGAGGGAGTAAATAAGAGCGGTGTTTTTACTGTCCAGTCTCTTTATTCTGCCCTGAAAACAGTTCAGGTTAAGGGGCCGCATAGGAAGCTGTGGTGTGTCAAAGTACCACCGAAAATTAAAGTGTTTCTGTGGTTGACTGTTAGGACAAGTATTCTAACAAAAGATGCCGTAATCAAAAGGGGGTGAGAGGGAAAGATAGCTAACATGATGAGGCAGAAACCATAGATCACTTGTTTTTTAATTGTGCCCTTGCTAGGTATGTAAGGGAGGCTAGCTAAATGTGCAACTGGTTTATAATCTAAGCTTGCTATACTGACACTAGAACTTGGTTTTCGTGTGTTAGTTGAATCCCCTTAGCAATGGATTCTGCCGTTCTGGTTAGCAAAAAGTGCACAAAGGTTATATCGTGCTGTTTTGAGTTAATTGTTGCATCTTGAATTATGGTTGTTTTACCACCCTCCGTCCCAAAATAAATGTCTTAAGCTTAGTACAACGTTGTACTAAAGTTAGCACAAAGTTAAGACACTTATTTTGGGACGGAGGGAGTAATAGTTTATTCTCTTCAGTCATACTACCGGCTTATGCTAAAATCAGGCTGTATGTAGCGAACAGAATTATATGTAGCTGTCTTGACTCTTGGTATACTGACAACGATCCTGTCAACCAGCTGTCTTGGTCTTGGCCTGTTTATCTGGCCAAGTTAAAACAATAAATTTTAAGTTGGGATCTCATGCTGAATTGAATTCAGTTTATCTTGGTTATTATCTACTTTACTTTAGACAATGGAACCAGCAGCATTACCCACGCTTTATAGTTTAACTCCTCTCACAGGTCACTGGACGAAGAGATAGAGCCAAGCCTTTGCCATTCAAAATGGAATCAAGTGGCGCATGGGGATATTCAGGGGCAAATGCCGGTAATCCTCGCATCACTGCAACATTCGAGGCCCCTTGCTATGCGCTGAACAAGTACGTTTCAGCACATCCGTTTTTTTTTATATACTTGACGTTTGGTGAGCTGTGGTAGCTCATGTTATCAGTTCCAAATGCAACAATTCAGTCAAATTATGACTCTGACCTTCTGCTAATTAATTGGTCTGTGCAGAATAGAGATTGACACCAAATTACCGATTGTGGGAGATCAGAAGTGGGTCATATGGATTTGCTCCTTCAACATTCCAATGGCCCCAGGAAAAACTCGTTCTATTGTCTGTAGTGCTCGAAACTTTTTCCAGTTTACAATGCCAGGAAAGGCATGGTGGCAGGTATATGCTTATGTTGTATTTGTTTTTACTTTGCCTCCTGTTTTCTTAACTGTGTTTCAACATTATCATATTTGGTTAAACATGGTGTCTTTGTGTTCCTGAGGGGAAAAAACAGGCTTGGTCCCTACTGTATAAAGAATTGGAAGGGTGTTTATGTTGTCATCAACTTATCATATTTGGAGTATAAAGTGGAATCCTGAACATTGCTTTGCTATTTTTGATGCAGCTTGTCCCTCGATGGTACGAACATTGGACCTCAAATTTGGTCTATGACGGCGATATGATTGTGCTTCAAGGCCAAGAGAAGGTTTTCCTGTCTGCATCCAAGGAGTCGTCTGCAGATGTTAATCAGCAGTACACAAAGCTCACTTTCACGCCCACACAGGCCGACCGATTTGTCTTGGCATTCCGGGCATGGCTAAGGAAATTCGGCAATAGCCAGCCTGACTGGTACGGAAGCCCTAGCCAAGATGCATTACCTTCTACGGTCCTTTCAAAGCGAGAGGTAAAGGTTCTCCGGGTTATCTATCGAAGTAGACATCAGGAACTTACCTGCATGTTCTGATGTGACTGCAACTTGTAGTTCTCTTATTCTTATTTGTGGCATTATGTTGATGACAAAATCGCAAACTACTACTTGTTGTGCAGATGCTAGACAGATACGAGCAGCACACGCTGAAATGCTCGTCCTGCAGAGGAGCGCACAAGGCCTTCCAGACTCTGCAGAAGGTGTTCATGGGGGCGACGGTCGTGTTCGGTGCGACCGCCGGGATCCCTGCGGATGTTCAGTTCAGGATATTGCTTGGCGCCGCTGCTCTGATCAGTGCCGCTCTGGCCTACGCCTTCTACGACCGGCAGAAGCATTTCGTGTTTGTAGACTATGTACATGCTGACATTGATTGATTATTAGGATGAACACGCTGCCTGTCCTTTTTGTGAGCATCTGGTGCTGAGACATCACACGGCCATGTGCATAAGCTAGTATAGATTTCAGTGAATACATCCAGTGGCGGAGCTTGGAAGAAAATGTTGGGCGGGCCGACTAAAGAGAGCACAATCTTTAAAAAAAAAATCTGAATCATAGGCAGTAGTAGTACACTAGTAGAAAACAAGGCTTTGATCACGGGGCAATATTCACATTAGTCCCGGTTCAGTCACGAACCGGGACTAATGTGAGCATTGGTCTCGGTTCGTGCGGCTAAGGCATTAGTCCCGGTTCACCTGAGCCCTTTAGTCCCGGTTTGAGACACGAATCGAGACTAAAGGGTGCGATGCCCTTTAGTCCCGGTTTGTGTCTCAAACCGAGACTAAAGATTAGACCTTTAGTTCCGGTTTGAGA